CCCCGAGAGTGTGATTCTGGAGCCTCCCAATCTCCTCATCCAGCTTCTCCAGCTGGGCCAGCAGAAGTTGTTCTTGTTCCTCCAGGAACTGCCGCAGCTGCTGAAACTCAGCCACAATCATCTGCCTCTCAGCTTGGGTCCATTTCTGTATGAAAACAGGGAAAGGGCTGCTCAGGGGCATGGGTGGAGCCCAGAGCCCTTTCATGAGGAGCTGAGTGCGCAGCAGGAAGAATTTATTGGAAAACCCTACAATTTGTAACATTTGACTCTACTTTGTGGTTACTAGGCAGAGGCGTCTCTCCCAGCATCTCCTTTGGCCTGTGTCCCTCTGAAACGGATGTTCCCATGTCTGTCATGGGCAGCATCTGTTGTTAGTCATGGGCTCTGGGAATTCAGAACCAGAGCAGCAGGAGGCAGGACTCAGCACCAGCCTGACGGAGATACCCATGGAGGAAAAAGAAGCAAACATGTTAATGACTGTCTGGGAAAGCCACAAAGGCTGGACATTAACTCATGCAGTGACATGGATGCTCAGGGCACTGGCTTTTCCCTTCTGCTGCTGTTTTCCTTCTCAGTAGCTTTTCTCTCTCCTACCTCAGAGTCTTCAAATGGGCCTCCAATTTTTCCTGAAGAAATAGAAATCAGCATGAGGGCAAACCCCATCAGATGTTGGAAGCCCCTTTGTCTGCCTTTAAGAGAGTCCCAATTTTGTGGAGTTCTGCCCCTGACCAGCAGGGACTCAGCCCTGAATGTGGCTTTGTCCATAGAAAAAGACAATGGAGGAGACTGCGGATGAAGCAGGACACCTGTAAGGGTGGTGGCACCTTCGTAAAGAATGATGCAGGTGGTTAACAACACTCATCATGTAACCCAGCGTTTCTCAAACTGTAGGTCGCGACCAACTTACGGCGGGGGGAGTCTCAGCTGGATCTATTGTTTTGGGTTTTTTTTGGTTTGGTTGGGATTTTTTTTCCATTTGTCTCTTCCCGGCATCTCCAGACACTGCCCAATTTTCCCCTGCTGCGTCTGGCGGGGGAGCGAGAAGCACCACAGAATCTAGTGAAGAGGGGGAGGGGAAGAAGGGGGCAGTTGCCTGGTGCCAGGCTGGGTGGCACCTGACCAGCAGAGACCAGCAGCTTGCTACATGATGCTTCTCCTGCAAGCTGCTAGCTGAGGCAGTGGGCCAGTGGCAGAAGCAGACACTTTTAAAAGTAAGATTCTTTCTCCATGCCTGGCTCTGCGAGGGGAGGGGGGAGATTTGATTGGAGCGCAGCTCCAGACACTGAGGATACCTGCCTCAGGGGCAGGAAGGAGTGCAGGGGGATG